ACCAGCAGCACCACCACCATCACCACCACCAACAACTGCAGCCGCAGCCGCAGCCGCAGCAGCAGCAGCAACAACTGCTGCTGCTCCTGCTCCTCCTACTGCTACTGCTTCAGTAAAAGTAAGTATCGACATGATTTCTACAGTCAGCAGTTTAACCCCACAAGGTTGTGTCTCGGCGTCTTCGGCGGGTACGAGCCAATTCTGGGCTTCCCTGCCTGCAGCCATCGTTCGGGGGGTTGCTGCACCTGCACCTTGGACCCCGGAGTTTCTACATAATGGCAACCTTGAACTTGAGTTGTTCAATACATTACCCCTGGAAACCTGGCTGACCTAAGCCAAAGCTGTAGAGCTAACGATTTTTCAGGTCCCTGCTACACTGATGACCAGGTGATCATCGTGCTGTTTTCTGAATCTTTTTTAGCTCAGCTGGAGGTCCTGACGGCCACAGCCCTGAACCTTAATGTTTTCAACTGATCTCCAAAGCTCGGGGTGTCAGAGTCAAAGTTGGGTACTGAACGTAACCGGAAACCTTGCATAATAAATCAGCATTTCGAGTAGGCATTTGTTCGCTTCGAAGGTTTCGATCTTTCGAGGCGTAAGGCTGAGGGACCGAGGGACCCTTTTGAACTTGATACGGTTTGGGCATGTTTGGGCCCTCGGGGCTCCAAGCACTGCGGCCACTGGGTTGAAGACGTCTTTTTGTTGTGTCAGGTTCTCGTTTCCACGAGGCCGCTTGGCAGCATGGTGGAGTGATGCTTAAATCCATCTCAGTTTCCTAAGTCTCGTAAGGTTGGTTTGTCTTCCCAAACATCTTCGGAAAGACATTAGGTCATTAGGTGCTTCAGAGTTCAGCGGCTTGCGGCAAGGCATGCAATGCCGTGTTTGGTGTTGCGACATGAGGTATCTACCATTTGTTGTCAAGGCGTGCATTCCACAATGTGTATATCTGTCATGTGCTTAGAATGTGCAATTCTCAAAAATCCACTTGAAGGCTTGGCGAAAACGCTCTGGATAGCCCTCGGAACCGCATAGAGTGCAAAGCACCCGAAGGCACCGTCAACAACGCAAAGACATGATGATGATGATGATTACGGTGATGATGATGATCGAATGATAATGCTGATGCTGATGAAGATGAGGATGATGATGATGATGATGATGATGATGATGACGACCTTTGGTGGCAGCATGGTGCCATCTTGCAAACGCCACACCCATCGATTGGTTACCGACAGCCAAAACCCTAAAGCCACTTGCGCTTGCCGGAGAGGTCTTGGGCCGAATTCATCCCGCCACTGTCGGCTTACTAATGTCGATGCCGGGGGCCTTAGTGGGTGGGTTAATGCTGCTGGAGGAGCAGTCACAACGCTGACGCCGTCATGAAGCACCTAAGAAGCCTCCAAAGATAGTGTGTGAGAAGCATATCTAGTCTGGTTACGCAGCTCTACCAGTAAATGCTGCTTTGCGTTACAAACAATGGCGATATCAGCAGCAATGGCAATGTGAAACTCGCTGGGTGATCGTTGAGAAACATGCAGCCGCAAGGCAAAGATCCAACAACTGCCAATAACAGTAGTCATAAAAACAGGACTAGTAGTAGTAGTAGTAGTAGTAGTAGTAGTAGTAGCAGCAGTAGTAGTAGTAGTAGTAGTAGTAGTAGTAGTAGTCGTAGTAGTAGTAGTAGTGGTATAGTAGTAGTAGTAGTAGTACTAGTAGTAGTTGTTGTTGTTTTTAACTAAGACTATCTGACACTAGGGGGTACCATATAGTTCTAGTAGTAGTAGTAGTAGTAGTAGTAGTAGTAGTTTTTAACTACGACTATCTGACACTGGGGGGGGGGGCATCATACGGCCTCTATCTGACGCTTAGGGGGGGGGCCATCTGACGCTGCTAAATTTCATATGACGCTATCTGACGCTGGTTTTTTTTTCTAAATTTCATCTGACGCTATCTGACGCTGTTTTTTTCTAAATTTCATCTGACGCTATCTGACGCTGGTGTTTTTTTTTCTAAATTTCATCTGACGCTATCTGACGCTGGTTTTTTTTTCTAAATTTCATCTGACGCTATCTGACGCTGTTTTTTTTTTAAAAAAAATTTCATCTGACGCTATCTGACGCTATCTGACGCGTGTTTTTTTTTCAATTTTTTTTTCTGACGCTATCTGACGCTATCTGACGCTGGAGGGCGTCGCGGGGCGCCATTTTACTTTGTTTTGACAACCCAACCGAAAACCATCTGACGCCAACTGACGCTATCTGGCGCGTGTTTTTTTTTTAAATTTTTTTTCTGACTCTATCTGACGCGTGTTTTTTTGGTTTTTTTTCTGACGCTATCTGACGCGTGTTTTTTTTCGCTGCAGAAGCAATTTTTTTTTACTACTGTTACTATATTACTATATAAAATAGTAGTAGTAGTAGTAGTAGTAGTAGTAGTAGTAGTAGTAGTAGTACTACTACTACTACTACGACTACTAGTACAGTAGTACTACTATATATAGTACTAGTACTACTGCTAATACTACTAGTACTATATTTATAGTACTACGACATTACTACTATAGTACTAGTAATATAGTACTAGTAATATAGTACTAGTACAATAGTACTAGTACTGTATACTATAGCTAGTAGTACTATTAGTACTCTATAGTGCTAGTGCTACTACTAGTACTAGTACTAGTACTAGTACTAGTACTAGAGTACTAGTACTAGTACTATAGTACTATATATAGTACTAGTACTAATACTACAGTACTATTACTATAGTACTATATAATAGTACTTACTATATAGTACTATAGTACTAGTATTAGTACTAGAGTACTATATACTATAGTACTAGTACTATAGTGCTATAGTACTAGTACTATAGTACTATAGAGTACTAGTACTAGAGTAGTACTACTAGTAGTACGAGTACTAGTACTATAAGTACTAGTACTAGTACTATAGTACTAGTACTAGTACTAGGCTATCTGAAGCCTGTTTTTTTTCGCTGCAGCAATTTTTTTTTACCACTAGCTGTTACTATATTACTCTATAAACGAGTAGTAGTAGTAGTCGTAGTAGTAGTAGTACTAGAGTACTATATACTACAGTACTAGTACTATAGTACTAGTGCTATAGTACTAGTACTATAGTACTATAGAGTACTAGTACTACAGTAGTACTACTAGTAGTATGAGTACTAGTACTATAAGTACTAGTACTAGTACTATAGTACTAGTACTAGTACTAGGCTATCTGACGCCTGTTTTTTTTCGCTGCAGCAATTTTTTTTTACTACTAGCTGTTACTATATTACTCTATAAAAGAGTAGTAGTAGTAGTAGTAGTACTAGAGTACTATATACTATATAGTACTAGTACTATAGTATAGTGCTATAGTACTATTATAGTACTATAGTACTATAGAGTAATAGTACTACAGTAGTACTACTAGTAGTATGAGTACTAGTACTATAAGTACTAGTACGAGTCCTATAGTACTAGTACTAGTACTAGGCTATCTGACGCCTGTTTTTTTTTCACTGCAGCAATTTTTTTTATTACTAGCTGTTACTATATTACTCTATAAAAGAGTAGTAGTAGTAGTAGTAGTAGTAGTAGTAGTAGTACTAGAGTACTATATACTATATAGTACTAGTACTATAGTATAGTGCTATAGTACTAGTACTATAGTACTATAGTCTACTAGTACCACAGTAGTACTACTAGTAGTACGAGTACTAGTACTATAAGTACTAGTACGAGTCCTATAGTACTAGTACTAGTACTAGGCTATCTGACGCCTGTTTTTTTTTCACTGCAGCAATTTTTTTTATTACTAGCTGTTACTATATTACTCTATAAAAGAGTAGGAGTAGTAGTAGTAGTAGTAGTAGTAGTAGTAGTACTACTACTACTACTACTACTACTACTACTATACTACTACGACTACTAGTACAGTAGTACTATACTATATAATAGTACTAGTACTAGTACTACTGCTAATACTACTAGTACTATATACTACGACATTACTACTGTAGGTTTATATATACTATATATACTATTTTAGTACTAGTAATATAGTACTAGTACTAGTACTAGTACTATAGTACTAGTACTAGTACTAGAATACTATAGAGTACTAGTACTAGTACTAGTACTACATGTACTATTACTATAGTACTAATAGACTATATAGTACTATACTAGTACTAGTACGAGTACTAGTACTATAGTACTATATCTACTACTACTACTACTACTACTACTACTACTACTACTATTATATAGTACTCGTACAAGTACTATATATAGTAGTAATACTACTACTAGTACTACTAGTATAGTAGTAGTAGTAGTAGTAGTACTATATACTATGTATAGTTAGTAGTACTAGTACTACTATTACTACAACAACAACAACTACTACGACTATTATACTATATAGTAGTAGTACTATAGTACTAGACTAGTCTATACTATAGTACTAGTAGTACTACACTACTACTACTACTACGACGACTACTACTACTACTACTACTACTACTATTTGTAATTGTAGTAGTACTACTACTAGTACTTCCAACATGGCCTAAAACAACTCCGCATATGCCAACAACAAAAACATCCTTTGCAAACAAGTCGCTCTGGAGTGATGTATCCCATTGTCGTCGTCGGGAGACGGCGTCGCCC